AAGCTCTACACTAGTCTCAAGGCTCTCGATAGAAACCACACACGAACGATAAACATGATATATTACAATAGAATCTCCCACAGGCATGGACACATAGATAAGAGCACTCAAAGAATTATGAGGCATAACCAAATATGAAGAAAAATAGGATGACACGTAGAAATAAGTAGAGCCCGAATCAAATAAATTGAGGTATCTCTATAGCAAACTAGAACAATACCTGTAATGACGGCATCGAATGACTCTGCCTCGGGTCTGGCTGGGAATGCATAAAAATAGGGCTGAGCCCCACCACTTTGACCTCCGCACCTCGGGAGACCTCTAACTGGCTGGCCTCCACCTCAAATGGCCTGACCACCACCTCTAGCCGCCTGACCTCTACCTCTAGCAGCCTGACTCCACTTCTAGCTGGATAAGCGGGCGGTGGAGAAACTAGTGTTGGAACCATAGCACGAGAAACCTGATGTGGCATGTCGCCCTATGACCTAGGCCAAAATCTAGCAACGTGCCTCGGATCTCCACATGTATAGCAAGCCCTCGGCTGCTATGGCTGCAGAGGCTGAAACTGACCTTGACAACATGGAAAGTCACTGTGATAGCTCTGAATCGGCGGTGCACTGATAGGAGCTCAAGGTGCACTGTAGGCTGGCTGCCCCAGACGATGCCCATATGAACCAAGACTACCTGAAGCACCGTGGGATGACTGGAGAGCTGACTGAATCGGCCTAGGAGGATAGCCTCTACTGAAAGAACCTCTACCTCCAGATGAGGCACCACTGAAGCCACCTAAATGACGAGGCCTCTTCTCAGACACCGTCTCTCTACCCTGACTATGAATTATCTCGATCCGTCTAGAAATCTATACGACCCTCTAGAAAGAAATATCATCCCCAGTCTCCTTGGTCATCAGTAGCCTGATACTGAAAGTAAGTCCACCAATGAATCTCCTCACCCTCTCCCTCTCAGTAGGGAGTAAGATAACTGCATGGAGAGCTAGGTTCATAAATCGGGTCTCATACTGGGTAACAATCATGCTACCCTACTGAAGACGCTAGAACTGCCTACGGTACTCCTCTCTCAGAGTGAAAGGAATAAACTTCTCTAGAAATTGCTGCAAAAACTAATCCCAAGTGAGGGGTGGCAAATCTGCTAGTCTACCCTGCTCAAAATCCTGCCACCATCTCTTGGCATAACCGTCATCTGTAACACTACAAAGTCGATCCTATTGGCCTCAGCAATGCCCATGTTGCGCAACACCTCATGGAAACGATCCAAATAATCCTATGGGTCCTCAGAAGGTGCACCACTGAAATGAATAGGGAAGAGCTTTGTGAAATTATCCAACCTCATCAATCCCTTAGAAGATATGGCGAGCCTCTCCTCGGTCTGTGTAGTAACAAAAGGCTGAACTACCCCAACTGGCAGGACTGTTGGAGTCTGATACATGGGAGCCATCTACTCCAGAGTGTTAGTAGCGGGAATCTGTGCTCCTCCCCCAACCAGAGAGATAGATGGTGCCATTGGAAATGCTCCAATCTGGGCCACGCTCTCCATAGGTCCAACTAAGCAGACTAGAGCATCTTTAAGTATGGGAGTGGCTATAAATTTCTTCGGGACCTGAGTCGGTCTGACTGGTGCAGTCAGGACTGGGATCGCCTCCTCATGAACAATCTAGGGCTCTACAGTGGGTGCTACGGCATGTGCTCTAGCCTGAGCTCTGCCTTTGCCTCTGCCTCGGCCCCTACTTCTGGTAGTGGCTGCAAGTGAGGGCTTCAGCTCCTGCCCGGATGTAGATGCTGTGCGAGTTCTCACCATCTGAGATAATAAATGAATAAAATCGCACGATAAAGAAAGAAGAAGTGAATTTTTTCCTGAAGCTTAATAGCCTCTAGAAGATAAGTACATACGTTTCTGTACCGATTCTCCAGACTCTACTAAGCTTCCTCGGGACTTGTGAGACCTAGGCAACCTAGTACTCTGATACCAACTTGTCACGACCCGAAATTTCATTCTCGGTATCGTGAAGGCACCTAACATTTCACTTGCTAGAATAAAACCGCACGATAGAGAAAGAAGAAGTGAAATTTTTCCTAAAGCTCTATAGCCTCTAGAAGATAAGTACATACGTCTCCATACCAATTCTCCTGACTCTACTAAGATTGCTCGTGACTCGTGAGACCTAGGAAACCTAGTTCTCTGATACCAACTTGTTACGACTCGAAATTCTACCCTCGGGGCCGTGAAGGCGCCTAACATGTCACTTGCTAGGCAAGCCAAAATTAACTAGATTTCTTAACCAATTTTATCAATTCAAAGTAAAACATTAATAGAAATAAAACGAAATAGTCTAAAATAGAACAATAGAATACTAATGATGATATCTAAACATCTCCCAGAATACGAAGTCACAAATACATGAGCAACTAGAGTACTACACATAAGGTCTGAAGCAAATACAACTGTTTGAGTTTAGATAAACAGTAGAATAGATAAAGAAGGGGACTTCAGGATTGCGGACGCCATGCAACTATACCTCAAGTCTCCAAAAGTGGCTGAGTCCGAGCAGAACACCTCTAGACACTGCTAGGATCAGCACCATTATCTGCATAATAAGTGCAGAAGTGTAGCATGAGTACAATCGATCCAATGTACTCCGTAAGTGTTGAGCCTAACCTCGACGAGATAGTGACGAGGCTATGACAAAATACCTACGTAAAATCTTGTACAAATATATACATAAAACAATAAAACAACAAGTAGAATAATTAAAATATTAATGGGGAGGGGACTTGCGAAAGGGGAATATCATAAGAACGCCAAGTATAAAGTAACTAAATAATATCTTTCCAAAATGCGCAACATTGTAACCAAGTAAATCACCAAACCGGAAATTAAATAAGGCAATGTATTAAAGATGCACGGCATCACTCTTCATGCTTTTACTCTCGTCCTCACCATGTAATATCATAAATAAAATGGCACGGTATCACCTTCGTGCTTTTACTCTCAACCTCACATGATATGATAATAATGATGTGCAGTCAAAGGTACGTCATCACCCTTCGTGTTTTAATCCTCACAACCTCTCAATAGATGATAATGTGTGCAATAAGGCACGACAACACCCTTTATGCTTTTCACTCTTCCTCACCAAGTAATAATACAGTCCGAATTAATAATGCAAGGCGGGAAGATATTTCACTTCAATTATAATGCCATGATAAAAAATTCAACTTTCAAAATTTCCAAAATCTTTGAAATAAACAATAAATACGAGACGAATAATTAAAACAGTAATAATCTAACCTAGGCATGGAAAAAACATAGTAGATAAAACAATCCAACACAAAGAAACAATGTCCACCCGCATGATATAACCCAATGGTAACACATATATACTCGTCACCTCACATATACATTATCCCCATAAATAATACATGTAGCAAATAGACCAACAAGCCCTAATCCCTCAAGTCAAGGTTAACCACGATACTTACCTCACTCCACAACCAAATCAAGGCACAACTGCGACTTTTTCTTTATAATTAGCCTCCAAACCAATCAAATCTAGTAAAATATAGTTCAAATAATTCAAATTAGGCTTTAGAAACTACCCACGAGTGAAACAGATTCTATCTTTAATGATTTCGAAAAAAGTCAACAAAAGTTAACTCGGGGCTCGCTTAGTCAAAACCCGAGATTCGGACCAAAACCCAATTACTCATTCACCGCCAAGCACGGTTATGTGTTTAGTTTCGAAATTCGACCTCAATTTGAGGTCTAAAAATCAATTTCTCTAATTCTCAAATTCTTACTTAAATCCCTAATTTCTACCATGACAAATCTTAGATTAAAGGTTAAAATCAATGGATGTTTATGGAAATGTAATAAAATAAGTTAAAATCTACTAACCAATAAAGTTGGAATAAAAAACCTCTTCAAAACCGCCTCTGGGCCGAGCTCTAACTTGAGAATAGTGAAAAATTGTGAAATCTCGATTTTTGGAATGTTTTAATGCGTGGCGGTCAGGTGCCCTTCGCGATTGCGAAGCACTTGACACGTTTACGAAAGCCACTGGTCAACTGGCCATCGTGATCGCGATCAACCCTTCGCGTTCAACCCTTCGCGTTCATGAAGGCTTAAATCCCTCTTGCCTTCGCATTCGCGAGCCAAATCCCGCGTTCACATAGAGTTATTGCCGAGCCTCCCCCAGGTGCCCACAAAGCTTCTCATTCGCGGACAGCAAGTCGTGTTCGCGAAGGGTAAGCCCCCACCGCTTCAAGTTCGCGACCATCTCATCGCGTTCGCGAAGAACAATTCCGCCCCAATAACAATTTCTCCTTCGAGATCGGACCCAAACCAACCTCGATTTCTTTCTTCTTTCTCATGCAATACCTCTCCTGAAGCTAACAACTCTTCTCAATAAGAAATCCGAAATTCAAGAACACAGATGCTATGGTATCTCTCTGCAAATCTAGCAGAAAATTGATGAAAGTATGGCCAAAATATTATTTTGCTAGATCTACAAATTGAAAGGAATATAATATTTAATATTTTCAAGTTCTATTAAAAATTTATAGAGGAATATTCTTGTACAATGAAATGTCCCAAAAAATTTTCGCTAAGTATTACGTCATTCAAACCATATGTTAGACACATGGGTGTTCAAAAAGTTTAGAAGGTTTATAATATGTAAATCTTATGTTTGGAAGGTTATATGGATATCTATGAAAGAGGAGAGGTAGTTTGAAACAAAGAAAAAATATTTAAGAGAAGAAAACGAACATAGTCTCACATGATCCAACTTTAAACAATCATATTTCCTAATGTATAATAAATTGAACTATGAAATGAAAGCTCTTTGAGTCTAGTTTCTAGAATTTTAAACGTTTATAGTTTCAACATTCGTATAAGAAATTATGACTATTTTACTAAAGAGTAGCATAACAACAATTTGTTCCGAAAAAAATATCCTAAAACAACGTGTCATACGTGCGGCTCGACATGCCAGGCCAAATTTGGGTCAAATGGGCGAAAATTTGAGTTTCTAAAAAATTTCGAGGTGCCATGCGACGTGTGGCATAACGTGTCAGGTTGAGGCACTTCAAAATGAGAGAAGTTCACTTATTTCTACTGTATTTTGGAGAGATTTTGAGAGCAAGAACGACTTGATTAGGGATTCACCAATCCACCCAAGGTAAGATTTCTACCATGGATTCAAGTTAAAAAATTTAGATTAACATCGTTTAACACCTTCTAATTCCTAAAATCTAGGTTTTCACCCAAAAAATCAAGCGTTCGTCAAGACCCAGGGTTTGTGGAGGCATCATTCAAGATACGTTTCGTTACCTATTAGTATTAAAGTTAGTAATTTTATGACAGACTATGACTACAGATTATGAAATTTATAAGAGTTATGGGTAGAAAGTTATGAAAAGTTATTGCTGGCCAATAAAGCCTCGAGTGAATTATGGGTGTTGAGTTAGTAGGACAAAATAATGATTGTAACTGCTTAACTGTAGATTTTGAGGAGCCGAATTCGTGAGTTCTTGGAAGGAAAAACTTGAGCACCCCATTAGAGGTGATTTGAACTTTCTTCCCTAAGTAAAGGGCTATATTAAAATGTGAATAGTATATTGCTTGCTTGCTTGCCTTACTATATATATACAATGAAAACCTCTAATACGAGAAATCTTAAATAGTATGCCTTGTTGTAATTATTTGATTATGTGGAATTGTTATTATGTGAAGCTACTTATATTGCTCAGACCTACAGTTCATATTTAGAACAGAAAATGAATAGGTTCTTGATGTTCTCTGATTGATTGTTTACGTGAAATTGCTTGTACTGCTCAAACTTTCAGTTCAGATTCAGAAGAAAAAAAATAATATAGTCTCACTTTATCCACGAGGGCTTAGTGTGTATGAGTTAGTATAGTGGAGACTTTATCCACGAGGGCCTAAAATATTCAAATTCAGATTCAGATTCAAAAAGAGAAAAGTAGATACCCTCCACGAGCATGAGTGTCACGGTGGCCAGGGCTAGCTACCACATGCTTGTAGATGCTAGCACGTTCAGACGTGTTAAGCTTGATTGAGTCACTCGATGGCCCCACATACAGATTGAGTTTCAGTAAGCATGACCGGAGGCTCCAAAGTAGCTTTAACAGTCCCCATACGGTGCCCAGATCCTCATATACATAGCGCCATTATGTGCAATATTTTCAGAAAAACTATTTTTTTAAAAGTAACACAGTTTTCAACTTCAGTTTCAGATATCAGTTTTAGACTCAGTTTTAAGTTTTAGTTTCATTTATTAGATACAAAATTAGTTTATAGCTTCGACTTTCATTTACTAATCTGAATTCAGTTATCAAAACAAGTTTTAGCTTTTTAGATTATTCAATTATTTTTATATGAATTGTCTGCTCTACTTGCTGTATTTTTTTTATATTTATGTGGCCCACGCTAGTCTTGCCCTCCACCTTTGGGGGCAGTCAATGAGACTTCTAGCTATCCTTTGGTGGTACTTAGCCCGTTTGGGCCTACCACGTCGTGCGGTAGGTGTTGCGTTTGTAGGTGAAAATCCGTGATTAGAGACATATTTTCGTGACTTAGAGTGCAGGCTCTGTTGATTCATCTCAGCGGTAACAACAAATCTTTCTCTAGACTTTATTTATTTATTTATTTATAGACGCCTTTATTTATACTATTTTAGGGGAATGCCTCGGAAGACTTATATACTCAGATTCTTTGAGTCCGTCGCATTTTGCACCTCTAATGTGTATCCTTTTTTGTGATTTGCACCCTGTCTTATTTTTTTATACGATTTCAACCCTAACCTCTTTATTCTCTTGCAAAATAATAAAACCACCATTTATATAAATTTTTTATGAGGGCAAAATAGGATATACAAATAAAAGGCTTCGAAGAGTAAAAATACTAAAATTAAATTGTAAAGGTAAATGACAAACTTGACATTGAAAATCTCTTAGGAATAAATGATAGGGAAATATCCATTAAACAACAAAAGAAGTCTTGATGAAATTAAAATTTGTTCTTGCTGATAATTTCATATGCTAATTGCTTCTATTTTCTTCCACATCAAAGCTCTTTTTCTTGGACTTCTCTATAGCACTTGTATTTTGAAGGGTTTGTAAGCTAATACAATTTTTTCCATTCTACATATACTTCTCAGCATTTAACACAATGCCACCAACTTGAGCTCGCGCAGGTCTATGAGATGAATCATCCTCCATTGGCCTTCTTAGCTGTGAAAATAAATAAAGAACACAAATATATTAACTGTCTCTCAAAGTACTAAATCACCTATATTCAAGGTTCCATACTTACATTGAGTTTGGAAGGTTCATTTATATGTCCAGTCCAATAAGTGGACTCAAAATTGATTTGCTTACTTGGGTGGGGATTGACTTGTAGCATTTTGGCACCAATCTTGAGTTGTTTGAGTAGCTTGAGGTAGAGTTGTTGAATTCGAGGAATCGCTACTCTTGTTGCAAGTTATTTTGTTGTGACCAGTTTGCAAGAACTTGCTACACCTCCCTAACTTCCCTTTCTTACTCAATTTGGTAACATCATGCATTTCACTTGTTGTAGATTATTTTTTCTTTTTCTCTCTTCTCTGTTTTTTCATCTCAACTACTTTTCTCTCGGAGGCTTCAATTTCATCGGGCTCTTTTCTTCTATTTTTGTTCAACTTACTTGTCTTCGGCTCATAGTTAGGAGGGTTAACATCAAGTAGATCAGTAGGTTCCCACATATCAGGTCCATCCATTGGAGCAATGACTGGCTCATAAATCCTCATTTGAGCAGTCTTCTTGTAACAATCATGTATGAAATTTTTTGGATTCTCTCTTATATGGAATATGCAGCTCATTGCATGTGAGCATGAGATTCCTGTAAGGTCCCATCCCCTACATGAATAGATTCTTCCACTCAAGTCAACACTAAATTGTTCACCATACATGGTCTTTACTTGAAATGAAAATTTTTCAGCCCAAGTAGGAATTGATGTAGCCGAGTCTTCCTTCACTTTTTTTACTAGTTTTCGGATTCGAGGGCATAAATTTCCTGTTATAGTAAAATATTGTCAGGATCATGTTAAATATTTTGTGCTTCAGAGAAGTTACAATAACAATATTACCTTGGTATTTGAGCAGGTCTTCCCTCTTTTGGTTCAGTTTCTTCATCAAGTATATTCTAATTCCTTCAAGTAGTCCAAGTATAGGTTTCTCCCTTGCCCTCAAAATGGGTTTTGTCCCATTGATGCCTCACAAAGATTATTCAAAAGCATATCACACTTTGTTGTTGTTCTAAAATGTGACTTGCTCCAGAATTTGGGTGGTCTATCGTTGAACTAATTTCTAACTTCTTTGTCCTCCTTTTCCAGCATATCCATCTCATATCTATACTTACTTACATGAGTTGCCCTTGCAGCTTTCCAAACTCTTATCTTCAACGATAAACCTTTGTGCTCTTTCTTGAAATTATTATACAAATGTCTTACACAAAGCCTATGTTCAACTTGGAGAACTGTCTCATAAATAGCTCCCTCCAAACCCTACAAAAGTGAGTAGAATAATAAACATGGCTAATTTTGATAATTGAAAGCAATTAGAATTTGGTATTATATGTGGATAAAAAATCTTACCTTTTGTTTGTCTGTAATGAGACATAAGTTATCATGATTTCTAATTTGCAAGTCATCCACCAACAAATTTAAAAATCACTTCTAGTTATGCTTATTTTCAATATCAACTACAGCGTAGGCTATAGGAAATATACCATTATCAGCATCTATCCCAATTACTGTCAAAAGTTGACCTCCATATGGTCCTTAAAGAAAGAAACCGTCTATCCTAATGAGTGGCCTACAACCTTCCATCCAACCTCTTCTGCAGGGCTCAAGACATATGTACATTTTTTCAAAAACAGGTCTGCCATCCTCTTCATGAGGTGTTGTTTCTAACAATACAATTGATCCTGGATTCTTTCTCTTGAGTTCTGCACAATAGTCCTCTAATTTTGCATATTGTTCTTTGTAGAGACCTTCTATCATTTCCTTTGCTATTGTCTTTGTTCTATTGTCACGATCCGAAATTTCTCACCGACGGGACCATGATGGCGCCTGACATTTCACTTGTTAGGCAAGCCAACGTTAGAAAATCGTTAGACCAATTCCTTATTTCCATTCAGTAAATAACAATAATTAACTAAGATGAAATATAATAAGTACGGAATATTATAAAACTGTATTAATTACTACCCCGGATCTTGAGTCACAATTCACGAGCATTCTAGAATTTGCTACAACTAATAGTCAGAAAGAAATACAAATGTCTGAATGAAAGAAACAGTAGAACAGAAAAGATAGACGGGGACTTCAAGGTCTGTGAACACCGACAGATCTACATTGAGTCTCCGGACAACGGACCAATAGCAAAATCTCGATCAACCCGAGCCGATATCAAAATCTGCACAGAAAGTGCAGAGTGTAGTATCAGTACAACCGATCCCATATACTGGTAAGTGTCGATCCTAACCTCGACGAAGTAGTGACGAGGCTAAGGCAAGGCACCTACAAATCAACCTGTACAATTTAATAGTGTATATATAAATAACAGAGATGAAGAACTAAACAGAAAATGTCGGGAGGGGAACATACGTAGGGGAATACAAGATAAAGAACTACAATAGAATGATCATCGGAGCAGTCAATATACCATGAAAAATATACGGCATCACCCTTTGTGCTTTTACTCTCAATCTCACCTAAAATTAATAGAAACGGCACGGCATCACCCTTCGTGCATTAACTTTCATATCATAGCACGACATCACCCTTCGTGCATTAACACTCACAATATGGCATGGCATCACCCTTCGTGTATTAACACTCTCCCTTACCATAATGCAATGCATAAATAACAACAGAGAGATAGATTAATAAGTACAAACATTACTTCAACATTTGGTTCCATAATATCAATCTCAACTTTGAAATAAACACTCAATTATCACCAGAAAATTCGTAAACATGATAAGAACGATAAATTGAACAACACTAATATAACACATAGCAATTTGGCATAGGAAAGAGACAATATAAGGAAAACAGAGAAACATGGAAAACAGGTAAATTGGCGGCACATAAGTACTTGTCACCTCACATATACGCTGCTCACATGGATTTCACTTAGCAAGTAATCTAAGGTTCCTAATTCCCTCAAGTCAGGGTTAGAAACAACACTTACATCGCTCTGAAGGCCACTTAATTCTCAATCACAGCTTTTCCTTTAGAATTCATCTCCAAACCACTCGTATCTATTCAAAAATAACTCAATAATATCAAATATTGCTAAAGGAGTCAATTATATTGCATAAATTAAATTTCCTAAATTTTTCTCCAAAAAGTCGAAAAATCGACCCCGGACCCGCTTGATCAAAACCCGAGGTTCGGACCAAAATCTACTTACCCATTCATCCCCGATCCCGAATATATAATTGGTTTTGGAATCCGACCTCAAATTGAGGTCTAAATCTCCAAATTCCCGAAATCCCTAGTTTCTACCCTAACCCCTAATTCTACCATGAAAACTCTAGATTTTAGGTTGAAAATTCAAGAAATGTAATGGGTAATTGAAAGAAAATGGTTTAGAATCACTTATCAACAATTTAGGGAAGAAATAGCTCTTGAAAAACTGCCTCTCACCGCTTGTTTTTTGAGAAAAATGAGTTTTTGGCTAAAATTCCGTTTTTGGATTCTGTTAAGTGCTGGGCGACAGTATTCATCGCGTTCGCGAGAGCACTATCGCTTCGCGAAGGGTACTGGCTGCCAAGTCTACGCGTTCGCGAGACCCAGCTCGTGTTCGCGATGGTTACTCCCCCCTGGCCTTCGCGTTCGCGATGAAGGAACGGCTGACTCCCCATCCCCAATGCCTAACACTACGCGTTCGCGATGGGCTTGTCGCGTTCGCGAAGGGTAACGCCCTCATCGCTTCGCGTTCGCGAAGAAGAAACCTTCAGCTGCCCAGTTTACTCTTCGCGTTCGCGAGAGTACCTTCGTGAACGCGAAGAAGGACATGCCAGAACACTTGCTGCAGCAAAATACCAGATTTCCAAAGTCCAAAATATCCCGTGGCCTATCCGAAACTCACCCCGAGCTCTCGGTGCTCCAAACCAAACATGTCCACAAGTCTAAAAATATCATACGAACTTGCTCGCGCGATCAAATCGCCAAAATAACACCTAGAACTACGAATTTAGCACCAAATCAAATGAAATTTTCAAGAACACTTTAAAATTTCTATTTTCTCAACTGGACGTTCGAATCACGTCAAATCAACTCCGTTTCTCACCAAATTTCACAGACAAGTCTTAAATATCATAATAAACCTGTACCGGGCTCCGGAACCAGAATACGGACCCGGCACTAACAATGCCCAACATCAATCAATTCTTAAAAATAATTAATTTTTCAGATTTTTAATTTTCATCAAAAATTCATAACTTGAGATAGGGACCTCCAAATTCGATTCCGGGCATACGTCCAGGTCCCATAATTTGATACGGACCCACCGGGATCATCAAAATACGGATCCGGGCCCGTTTACTAAAAATATTGACCGAAGTAAACTAAAATTAACTTTTAAGGCATAAATTCTTATTTTCATCAATTTTCAACATAAAAGCTTTTCGGAAACCTGTCCGAACTGTGCACACAAATCGAGGAGGGAAAAAAAATGAGATTTTTAAGGCTTAAGAGCGCAGATTCGAGTTTTAAAACATAAGATGACCTTTTGGGTCATCACATCTATACACTTTGCTCACTGAAACTTCAACATTCATCTCTTCATGTATTTTGTCCATGAAATCTCCTACTGATACATCTGGATGTATTCTCAAATAATGCAGGAAATATTTGGCAATCATTCGAGATTTCACATTTTTGTTGACATAAACAAACAAACAATCATCAGAATGTTTCCCAACTAAAGTTTTTATCGTGATTGTGGGGTCATCTGGTGCCTTTTTAGATGCATATATGCGCCGTGGACATTGATCACAACATTTTGCAGAAATTTTATCAGATTCATTCTTTTTGAAGGAAATTTTCTTGTTATTTTTAATAGAATAAGCTCTCAGTGCAGCTCTAAATTCTATTGCATCAATGAATGTCTTTCCCAACCTAAATGTTAAATTATCCATGTCTGTTTCTGCCCTAAATGCAACATTTTCAACCTTTCTAACCTTTTCATCATCATCGCTATTAATACTGCACATGTCATCTGAATCATACTTAGGAGAGATGTTATCATTCTCAGATTCTGTACTTGAGTCCTCCAGTAGTAACCCGGCAAAATTGGCACTCTTGGCTTTCTCCATCACTTTATCTTTCTTTTTTTCCTTCCCCTCTTTCCTCCCCTTTACACTAACTTCGCCATTTCCTGCTAGATTTTTCTTTTTATCCTCTTTTCTTACTGCTGTATCTTAATCTCGTTGTTCCAATCCATTCCAAGGTTTGCAATGACCATTTATGTGGATCACACTTATCAATAAAATCTATCTTGCCTCCCAAATGTACATCTAAGAATTCACCTCCATGGTGAATCTTCAATGTAAAAAGCTCATGCAAGGTTTAAAATTATTTTAGCTAGCTCAATTTCTAGATTAGATAAAAAAAAATACATATTGAAGAACTACTTTTGGTATCAGAATATTCAATAAAAGTAAACAACTACGGCCAACAAAAAAGCTAAATTGACACAAGGCCTGTTTTATCCAAAGTAGAGCAAGAACTTAAATGAATTGATCTTTCTTTATTGATGTACATGATAGTATTCAGAGTTGTTTGAAATTTTGATAGATTTGCAAACCTTTCTTTCTGGTGCATTGTTGTAGTGAGTTAGAGTTTTGTGATTTATTTTTTTAAAAAAAGAAAATCAATAGCAGATAGAGGATGGGACAAGAACATGTTAATGATGGATTGCATCTTACGCATTGCAAACAATAAGCTTTTGGCAATTCAATACCCATCGACGAATTAAAGAGCATACGAATGGAATTTGTTTACTCTGAACTTATTACCTTTCAATTTCTCCTTCTTCAATCGACTTTTCCGTTTCTCCTTGCTCTTATCCATTGATGATATACTGGATGTGCTATTTATTCTCGGTAAAATTGACGCTGCCTTTAGCGCGTTTTATGCTTGGAGAGCTTAACCATGTCTCCCACGATGCAATGATGATGGCGGCAAGAGTTTCACTAGGATTAACGTCCCACCGTAAAAAAATAACTTAAAAAAAAAGAAGATATTTTATTTGTATTTTCTATGTTGCCCTCATGAAAAATTTATATAAATGATGATTTTATTGTTTTGCAAGTGAATAAAGAGCTTAGGATTAAAATCGTAAAACAAAACATGACAGGTTGCAAATCACAAAAAAAAGATAGACATTAGGGGTGCCAAATGCAATGGACTCCAGATTCTTTAGATACTTTGTTAGTGGACTCAGTTGTCAGACATGTTAGTGTTTAAGTTATCATTTAGCTTTCAAACATCTATTATCTTAAGATTTATTTATGAGTCTCTTGGGTATGATGTTCTATATAGAATTTTCGATAGTTAGAACAAGTTTTGTTCGACAAGTAAGATAGGTTGATTGTCATCACGCCTCATCCTAATTTCGGGGCGTGACATACAAACCCAATAGAATAAATTTTATATTTTAAAAGAATTCTCTGCAAATACTTGTGGTTTTGTTGCATAAAGAAACAAACGGACAAAGGATTGAAAAAAGTGCCTGCCTGGTTTCTTAATATTTTGTTATATTAGCAGGTATGAGACTAATAAGAAGGTGCAATGTCAATTCGTGTTTCTTGGTTGTCAAATTTCTTGTTGAGAAAAGTTGTTAGGTTCATGGAAGGGTATTGTATAGGGAAGGGCATTGTATGAGGAAGAAGAAAAGAATCGAGGTGAAAGGCTAATTTTAAATTCGGGTTCAATGATATGCATGGGTTGAATTTATACATATGGATTTGATAATTAATTCGCATTAAGTTATACCTGGACCGATCGTAAATTGCCACAACAACAATAGACCCGGTGGAGTCCCAAAAATGGGGTTTAGAGATGATAGTGC